TTATTTTTTCCATCAATGATATCTTCCCCTCTGTTTTGTTTTAAGGAAAAAAGCTGCCTGATATACACCTTTAGCAAATTAAATTTGAATTGAGTCTGACAGCACAACAGGGATCGAGATTACAGGGAGATGTCCTGCCCTAATTGGAGTCATTGCCAAGAAGTTATTTGCAGAGTTAACCACGGAGTGCACAAGTAGAGCAAACGTGGTCTCTGCACTGAGTGCTCATTCCACCAGCATTCCCAACTGGCTGCAGGACCAGCCTGGTCCCAACACAAGCAGCACCTTGATGGTGTCTCTCAGGAACATCCTGGATGCTGAGTTTAGTTTCACTGCAATCCCAGCCATCCTCAGCCATGGCTGAGCCCCACTGGCCGCTCCCTCTGCCAGCTCTGGGGCTCCCACGTCAGCCAGGTGTGGTGGTTCCTGCCCTGCCAGCAATCCCTGTCCCACCACTGATCCCTGTCCCATCTCTGTCCCTGCTCCACCACAGATCCCTGACCCTCCATCCATCCCTGCCCCACCTCCATCCGTGCCCCACCACAGATCCCTGTCCCATCTCCGTCTCTGCCCCATCACAGATCCCTGTCCCACCACTGATCCCTGTCCTACCTCCATCCCTGTCCCATCTCCATCCCTGTCCCTTCTCCATCCCTGCCCCATCACAGATCCCTGTCCCATCTCTGTCCCTGCCCCATCACAGATCCCTGTCCCACCACTGATCCCTGTTCCATCTCTGTCCCTGTCCCACCACTGTCCCTGACCCTCCATCCATCCCTGTCCCACCACAGATCCCTGTCCCATCTCTGTCCCTGCCCCAGCACTCCTCTCACCACAGCTGCAGGCACACAGCAGAGGACGACAGCTGTCTGGTAACCAGCAGAGGATTTTGGCCAAACATGCTCCGAATAATGAAACCGTCTCCCTCACTGCAGGTTTTAATAAAACCCCTAATCCCTGTGAACTCACCATTTCTTTCGCTTTCAGACACCTGGAGGCAGGGAGGGCTCTCTCCATACCTGGGGCAGCCTGTCAGCGTTTGAAGGGTGTTTAGAGGATACAACTGGATACAAGGAGCAAAACCTGAAAATTTCCCTCTGCCCACATTGGGCAGGTCATTGCCACAAGCTTGGGAGCTCCTTGTTCCACAGAAATCTCATCCAATCAAGCTGTGGCTGATGACAACTTGCACCTGACAGAGCTGCAGCCAGGCCACTCCCGGCCCCTGTGGGCAGAGTTAATGTGGAGCCTCACCCCAGAGCCCAGGGAGAGTGGACTTATCAATAAAAATTAATGGTTTCATTGCAAGGGGGGTCTGATCCAGTGCTTTCCCTGTCCTGGGGACCAAAGTGCTCCTTCCCAGGGCCATACATGGCTTTCCTACAGGACTGGCTCTGGGATCCAGCACATCTTGGGCTGCAATGGAATGCTCTGGCCCACAGCAGCAAGTGAATCAGCAGTCTCAGCCAGCATTAATTATGCAGAGAATCGTTTGCTGATAAGAAAAAAAAACAAACCAGAAAAGTTCTAATTTAATCAAAATTAATAGTTAATTTAACAATTCCACAGTGAAAAGCCCTTGACCTCTGGACTTTTCCTCCCTGCAGGCAGGGACTGCTCCTGGCTCCTGCAGTGGTAACACCCCATGGCACCCCAGCACTTCCCCACCTCAGAGCCTCCTCCCCAGGGACTCCCTGCAGCCATCCCCGGGGTCTCAACACCAGGGTGGATAAGCCACAGCATTCTGAAAAAGGGAAAACATGGACAAGAGGTGGATGAACACAGACCATGTTACTTGTAAGCCCCTGAAAAATTCCAGCACAAATAAATATAATTTTAAGGAACTGGGAAGAAGAGCAGACAGACAGAAAATCCTCCAGAAAAGGGAGCTGAGAGCAAATCTGACAAATGTACCTGGGGTGACCTGGAAGAGGGAATGCTGTCTGAGGAAACAGATTCTCTAGATGACCTCAAGGTCCCTTCTGTCTATATCATCTACACTTCTACAGACTAATTCCTTAAATGAGTATCCTGTGAAAAACCCTCACTCTGAGCTCCCAGCATCTGGCAGGGCAGGCTGGGCTTCATCTGGAAGCATCTCCCCAATGTGCACTACCTTGTACTCAAGGCATTACAAGAAAATAAATCAGAAGAAGATTAAGAGAAATATTGTTTGAAAGACTTAATGAGCTGCAAATTGCAATTTTGTGTTTCCAGTTTAATTAGCCTGAGTCTGGTTTTCATTGTGTCAGGAAGCAGAACCAGGGCAGTAGCAGCAGCATCACAGATCTCTGGTTGCAGTGATGGAGGAAAACTTCTCCCTGCTTAGGGCTCTCAGATGCCTCAGCCAGCAGCATTCTCAACAGCTCCAACATGGCTGGAAAGGGTCAGACACCAAGCAGCTTCACCTCCAAAACCAACCCTGACCCAGGCAGCCTGGCCTGGTGTTGCTCAGTTGAACCATTGCTCCACAAGTTTGAGCTGGCTCTGCTGGTGAGGTTCTACAGATGCATTTTTGTTTGCAGGGCAAATGCTGATTAAAATGCAAACCACGCATCTCCTGCTCTGACAGCTCATGCCAAAGTGGTTTCCACAAGGGCTGCAAACACAAGGGTCACCCTGGTCTGTGAGTAGGTTTATGAAGGTGTTTATGGAGCAGCAGCATCACAGATCTCTGGTTGCAGTGATGGAGGAAAATCTCTCCCAGCTCAGGGACTCTTTATAACAAATAATAATTATATAAATAAATAAATAAATATATTATAAGGAATAATAATTTTATAAATATTTAGATAATAAATTTAAAATCATAATTAGAACATCTGGCTCCCATATTTCCAGGGGCACCTCCCCAGCAGAAGCTGTGTCTGATCCCCCTGTCCCAGCTGGGCTGGGGGTGTATTTTCACAATGTCCCAGCAGACAGGTCACCGTGTCCTGGTGGCTCCCTGCAGGTCCCATCCCTGCTCACAGGACTCTGCAGTCACTCGGTGGAGCAGCAGGGTCCCGCCTTGGGAGGCACCAAGGACACCTGAACAAGCAACAAATCCCAGCTTTGCTCCGTGCTGCATTCCAGAGGCGCTGACAGCGCCCTGACACTGATACACAGCCCCGTCACCTCAGCTGGTGCCAAGCATATCATGCTGACAGCACAGTGCCCCACAGCCAGCCAGGAGCCAGAGGAACAGGGAATTTATAGAGCCTGCAGTCTCTGCACTACCCTTGCACCCCTGCCTGATACACGGCTCATCCTCTTGGTGCTGGTGGTACAAATCTGTCACTTGCAGGGACACTGAATGCTGCCAGAAGGGAATGAGCCATGAGCAGAGGCACCAGCTGAGATGGTGACACATTTCTCAAGTTTTCTGCCCACCTGGGCTGTTCACAAACGCCACTCCAGGTTGTGGCCAAGATGAGACTCTGGGCACTCCAGAGCCAGCCCCGTTCAGGCAAGGCAGCTCCTCCTTAGGGCTGTGCCTCACCTGGGGGAGCATCACTTCCCCACACAGCTGTAGGAAAGGAGCCCTCACCAGCTCCACCTGCATGTTTCAGAGGCCCCAAGGGAAGGAGGAGGAAGAGGTGCTGCAGCAGAGCTCCCACAACCAGGAAAGCAGCTCCTGGAGGCCCCTCAGGGGCACAGCTCAGTCGGTGACCATGGCTCAGCTGCTCCACTGGTTCAGGGCACAGCCACGTGCCTCTGCCAGCACAGGGCAGGGCCACAGCTGCACCTGGTGCACCATGGTGCAAGATCAGCTTGTCTGAGCAGGGAAATACATCACTGGGAAAACAGGAAACGTTTGGGAAGTGGATGGCAGGTGTGAGTGACGGATGAGCACTGGAGAAGCCCAGCAAGGATCAATGAATAGCTGATGAGCTGAGGAGAGAGGCAGGGGCTGCTCACTGTGCAAATCCAGCAGGGAAATTGCTCCCTGTACTGGGAGGTTACAGTGAGGCCCCAAACAGCCCTGACACCCACAGGTATGGGGCACCAGTTCTGGCTCTGGTGTGAGCTGGGGGATGAGGAGAATCACATAAATATTGTTTGAAAGACTTAATCAGCTGCAAATTGCAATTTTGTGTTTCCAGCTTAATTAGCCTGAGTCTGGTTTTCATTGTATCGGGAAGCAGAACCAGGGCAGTAGCAGCAGCATCAATACAAATTAATGGTTTCATTGCAAGGGGACCCCCAGTGCCCCACTCTGCCCCCTCGAATACAGCAGAGCCTCTGCTCAGAGCTGTTCCTGCCAGCACTGGGGACAGGCAGGCAGGACAAGGGGTCCTGTGCAGGCAAAGGGAAGGGACCCCTCTGATTTCCCTCAGCCCCTCCATCCCCCAGGATACCTGACTGAGAAAGGCAAGAGCAGAGATCACACACCCACTCTGCAAATGACAGTAACTCATCCAGCCTGGTGCTTTGGGAATTTTATAGCAGCAGCTCCAGGCAGGCAATGACTCTGGGGTCAGCTGTGTGTCCAGTGCAATCCATCAGCAGTGCCTGAGACAGCTGCTTGTGAGCAGTAACAACAGAAAACAGCTCCCTGGCCCTCAAGACATTGGGAAAAACCCTGCCAGTGCAGGCTGAATTCTACATTTGAATGAAGGAAGATCATCACACCAAGAGCTTATTTCAATCTCTGCATTAGGAGGAAGCAGGTTGCTCTGAGCAGCTCTAGCCTGGGTTATCTGAATACTGAATTTTCAGAAGCAAGGGCTCTTTCAGCTCAGTAGGAGGCTTTGATCACATTTAGAACAAAGAGCAGCCAGAGAGCAGCACAGCTGTAAAACCCTCAAAGCCCCTCTACTCCATGTCTGCTTTCCTTCCAGTGCAGATGGCACAGGATGACCACCCAGAAGTGGGTGGGGCACACCAGGCCTTCCCCACACCATCCTGACAACAGTTTAACTTTCATAATCACAAAGCCTGATCAGGGTAACAGAACAGACATTTGGGAACAGTACAGCAGCACAGAGAGGTCAGAAAGGGTTTTCCAGTCTTTCTTTTTTAAATATTTTTTTATTTACCTTGACATAACCCATCGACCTTATTAAACAAGGCCATGATCACCCACTCCTGAGTGCACAGGCACACAGTGCCCAGCTCCAACAGCTCCCAGTCCCAAGCATTAGGAAAGTTCTGGTACCAAGCCATACTTTTCCTTCAGGATTTCAACTGTGGGCGTTAGTGCACTGCAGGGAGAAACAGAGCCATCAGAACAAAGAGTTTGGAGCATTAAAACAGTGTTTTCTGGGGAAGAGCAATCAGTGAGACACAGGATTGCACTTAGAGCCAAGGAGAGCATGAACTCCAGACACTAAAGCTTCACACAGAAGCTGTGAGAAAGGGGAATCTGAGAGCTCCTGAGGATTTCTGTGAGTGCTCATAATTAGGTTAACATTAATGGGAAGGTGGAAGTGCTGTGGGAAGCGAAGCAGAGCAAAACAAAGCAAAGTAATACATGAGCCACCCCTACCCAAAAGCTTTGTTTCATTTAAAGCAAAGGAAAAGCCCCAGCTATACTCACCAGCCAGGCCGGATGATGGAGAATTTCCCTGACACAGATAAGTCAACCACAGTTGATCCCAAGCGACACTCTGGGCTCTGGATGTCTCCTATGGGACCTCCATCAATGACCAAGGACAAGTGAGGCCACAAATCCTGGAATTCCTGCAAGAGAGCTGTTGGTAACAGTCCTGACAGCTGTTTGTGAGCATCATTTAAATAAAGTAAAAATATATCAGCAGAGCAGCCCCTGGTTTACTGCTAAAGCTGAGCTCAACTGAGAGAGCCTGAGGCTCTGCCAAAGTGACATCCCTGAGGGATGGAAGAACCTCACCAGCACGGTCAGGGTGCTGCCCTGGGAGCTGATGTTGGCGCTTGTCAAAGCCAGCGGTCCCGAGCAGGCACGAGCCAGGTCCCTCATGAAGGGGTGGTTTGGAATGCGAACACCAACCAGCTGCAGGGAAGGAAACACACAGGAATTGGTTTTAATCTTGTGTTGTCTAAAGCTCTGAAATAGCTGTCAGATCTACATCTGCTGAACCAGTGATAACACAAGACTTGAGTCAGGCCCTAACACTGGTTTGTGCCATGTCCAGGTCAGTCACAGGGAGCAGGACAACACAGGGACCACTTCTGGGGACAGGTAAGGACAAATGTTACAGCAGCCCCTGCCCTCGAAGCCCTGAGATCAATCCTGTAGCCATGACCTACCGATGTGAACGGATTCAAGTCTTTATTCAGCTCTTCTGAACGCTCCAAGACCAGGGTCACCGGTCCCGGGAGCAAGTCCCGCAGCAGCTCGTCGGGAACATTGACGTGGCAGTACCTGCAGGGTCGGACACAGCTGGATCAGGGGGTGCACACGGTGTCGCCGGGGCAACGGGACCTCGGGCAGCTCCGGCATGGCCCGCACGGCCCTTCCGTGGGGCTCCGCGTCCGCCGGGGGAGGAGCCGCTCCCGACGGCATCCGCGCGCACCTGTAGAGCCGCTCCACATCCCCGAGGCAGATGGCGAGCGGCTTGGCGCCGTTTCGCCCCTTCAGGCTGTAGATGCTGCGCACGGCGGCCGAGTCCTGGGCCAGGCAGGCCACGCCGTACACCGTGTCCGTGGGCACCGCCACCAGCCCGCCCGCTTGCAGAGCGCCGGCCGCGGCCGCCACCGCCTCCCTCCAGCCTGCGCCACACCAGGTGTCAGCGGGGCGGCCCGGCTCCTGTCGCCACCGGCCGGGGCCTCCAACCTCCGGTGCGGCCCAGCCCAGCTCGACCGGGGCGCTCCCGCCGCCGGCCCAGCCTCCCCCCTCCGCTGGCTCCCCGCGCGCACATCGAGGGCCGGGCCGGGCCCCGCTGCCGGGCGGCAGCAGCACCAGGCGGCCGCGGCCCAGCCCCGGGCCCGGGCCCGCCGCTCCCTCCGCCGCCCGCGCCAGCGCCAGCACCCGCGCCGCCCGCGCCATGCGGCGCCACTTCCGGCGCGGGGAAGTGACACAACATCCGGGGCCGGGCCGCCGACGCCGTTGCCATGGCGACCGGGGGCGCGCAGGAGCCGCGCGTGGGCCGGACGGAGCCGGCGAGAGAGCGGCGGGTGCGGAGAGGGCACGGGGGAACGGGAGGGTCCAGGGGCATCGGGGCTCCGGGGGTGCCCCCGGTGCCGGCCGTGACCGCTGTCCCCGCCGTCTCCCCACAGGTTCCGGAGGACCCGCGGAGGCTGCGGGAGCTGCTGGAGCTCCGGCAGCGGCAGCTGCGGTCCCGCATCGCCGCCTGTGAGGAGCTGAAGGCGGCGATGGTCGCGCTGCGGGCGGCGCTGAGCCCCGGCCCGGCGGGCGGCGCGGGGCCCTGAGGAGCCCCGGGGGAGGGGATCGAAGCCGCGGATCGGAGCGAGGGGTTTGGGGCTCCGGGGGAACACGGGGAGCGGGACCCGCCGGGCTCCCCCGCCGTGGCCTTGGAGCTCGCTCGGTCTCGCCGCGCTCGTGCCTTATCGCATTAAATTAACTTCATAATAAAGCCAGACGCGCTCGGACTGTATCTCCCCAGCCCCCGTGTGTTCCCCGGCTGCTCTGCGATGGGCGCTGGAGAGGCTGCACAGGCACGACCCCGGGGCCGAGAGCAGCACCCGGGCAGCAGCAGCTGCCGCCGGGGATGGAGCTCTGCCATGCGAGATCCCCCAGCTCTGCCTTCCAACTCTCACCCGCACCTCAGGCACCAGAGTGGCCAAGTTGGGCCAGTGCTGGGACAAGGAGAAGGGTGAAAAGGCAAACGCTGCCTTTCAGGTTGGAATTCCTCTTCCTAAGGAGATTGTGAGCATCCTGCCCTCTCCTCTCCCACAGAACACTCTCAGGAAAAACTATTATAACACAATGTTTAAATAAGCATTTAATTAGGATTCCATTAGTATTAATATTGCTTTCAATTCCAAAAAGGTAAATTTCCACTTCTTTGCAGATATTTCAAAGTACAATATTAACTTCATACAAAATGAGCAATTAAGCAAACACCATTATTTCACATTCTTCAAAAAATACAAATTCATATTTACTCTTTTGGGTTTTGGAGATGCTCTTCCTTTGGAAGTACTGTACCTGTAACTAACATCTTCACATTGCTCAATGTAAGCACATTTGTTCCCATGTTTTAGAGTTAAATAAATTCCTTTATTACCGTACACACATTCTTGAGAAACTGGGGTTTAGTTCAGCTGTCTCCAAAGCCCCAGGCAGTGCATCCCCCAGCCCCAACAGCTCAGCTGGAGCTGCCCCCAGTGTGGAGCCAGGCTGGGGTTTGGGCTGGGTGAGGCAAAACAGAGCAGGGTCAGCCCGAGCAGCGGGAGGACAAGAGTCACAAACCAGGAACACCAGCGACTGCAACTACAGCACTGCAAACACACCCTCCAGTCTGCTGGAAAAGGTCATGTGAAAAAAATCTTTTTTTTAAGAAAAAGTAGAAACTGCATTTATTTGAGAAAGTGTACACTGCATAACGAACCAAATTTTGGCCAGCTTGCACACCACTGCAGCATGGTGTGGGGTTTCACCTAGTCCCAAAAACACACACTTAGACTATGTACACTACTACATAAATATCCAGTTTAATTTGCATTTCTCAGTGCAGACACAGAATCCAACTTCTAGAACATGTGATAGGTATCAAGACAAGACACAAAAAAGTTAAAAGTTCAGCCCTGTCCATGAGAATCCACTACAGGTAACATTTATAAAAACTTGACATTGCTTCCAAAATATGTTACGGAAAAAAATAGTATACAATTAAAAACTCTGCAGTCAGAAATTCATAGGGTTTATTAAAGACGTGCTCTTCTTTTTTGCCTTACAGTCCAAACTGACTCCAACAGCTCTGCCCAGCTAGCTCAGCTAACTCCTGCCAAGAACTTTTCACCCACAGATCTCAAATCATTTCACAGCCAACACCCCGTCCTCGTTCCGCGGGGAGGATCTGAGGCAGCGCGAGGTTCTGTGCCTTGCCCAGTGTCTCCCGGCCAGCGGTGGAAGCGAGGACATGACACCAGAGCTCGCCTGCTCTGTCCCACTGACCCGGCTGCCTCACCTCAGGAACAACCCAGCAACAGCTGTTCATCTCCAGTCCCCTCCAAGGACAGCTACCCTGGGCTCAGCTGCCCCTGCAGCTCCATGCCAAGCCTGGCTCCAGCTCGGAGCCCAGCCTATCTCAGAGTAGGAGTGCTGTAAACAGTTCACAGCGTTGATGCAGATCAAGGACAACCTTGTGGATGGCTACAGCCATGCCACCCCCAAGAAATAAGGCAGTAACAGGACATCAGAAACCATCTTGAAGACAAATTTCAAAGGTGCAACATGCCTGTTTGAAAGCAGCTTGTCACTTGTGTTCCCACGTGGGTGACAGGATGAGGACAGGGGAAGAAGGACACACATCAAGGGACACAGCAGGTCCAACAGGAGCGACAAGCAGCCCCCAGAAAGCAAGAGAGAAAAGGCTGCTGAAGCACAGTGCTCTCAGAGGGTTATTTGCATAGATTGGACGTTTGCTAATGATGCATAATTTGTCTGGGGCACAGGGGAAGGGCAGCACAGCACCCACCACACTTGTTCTGTCAGACAGACACACACGGACCACACGGGACAAGGATCTTTAGCTACAGGTATTGCACGAAGTTAAGTGCTCATCTTTGCACACCCCTGTTAACTTTCACTCAGAGCAAAAATAAACTTTGTGAAAGTATATACAAAAGAAATTGCAGCAATTGGGTTAAAGATAAAATAACCTAAAGTGCATTTTAGATACCAGTATGAGGTTCTGCGAACTTGTCTTCCTGGGCACACGAAGCATTACACAAGTGTCCAATTCGTACTTTATTCCATTTAATTCAGTACCAGCATTCAATCAGTGCTGATTTTCCACCCCACCCCCCAACCCCCACCTACAAGCACAAAAAGCAATTTCTCCAACCTTTAGCTGCATGCCAAGTCTGCTCACTTGGCTCCTTGCTTGGTGACCAAAGCTACCAAAGTCAGTAACTTGACCCCCTCTACATATTTAAGCTTCTGCACCCATCTAGAAACTATGAATGACCAAGGAAACCCCCACTATCACAAAACAGGAGACCTAGAGCAGTGCAGTTTTGCTCTGTGACAATTAAAGGGGTTCATGCAGGCTTTGTAGAGGCAGGCACGCTGTTCCCAGAAGCTCCAGTACATCAACCCTATTCTGGGAATCCAATGTCTCATCTATAAGGGCAGAAACTCTCCCTTTTATTAACCATGTAATAGTGAATATACTAAATGCTGGGGCAGAAAAGGAGAGGACAGGAAAAATCTCTGGTCTTGCAGAATCTCAGGGCTTTGCTGCACCTGCCCTTGGATCTCCTCCCACCCCAGCATGGCACAGACTGCCCTGGAGCACAGTCTGATCACACAGTACTGGGGATGATGCAAATGTGAAAACATCTCAGATACACGCAGCACAAACACTCTGGAAAGCAGATGGACAGCAAACAACAAAAGCACACACCTGTAAAACGCAGTGGATGCACAGCTCCTGTGCTCACAGAATCACATGCTCCTGCCTCACTACAAGCTCTTAACCACTTCCACCTGAATTGCAGCCTGCCCAATGCACATATAAGAGGGCAATGGCAAACACAATGCACCAAAGAATCAGCAGGACATAGTGCTTTTCCTGGAACACAACAAAAAAACCCAGTAGCTGTGAAGAGAAACAGCAGAGATTGACCCTGGGCACTGCTGCCCATCACTGCAGCTCCACATTGAGCTTCCCAGTTCAGAGACTTTGGTAGTTTCTTCTACTCATTTCAGTCACAGAAGAGTTTCTGAAGATGCTGTCTGGTCCAACCAGAAGCATGTTTTAGGTTGACTAAGTCATAAGTAATAAAAGTAAAAAAAATCCTCCCTGAAGGCTGCAAAGGCTCAGAAGCAGTTGCTAAATGGCCCAGCTGTCACAGTGCAGGCCACATCTGGGACCCCTGTCCCTCATCAGAGGTAACCCCCACAACTCCAGGGGAATCTTCACATTCCTGCATCAGCAGTCTCCCACAGAGGCACACATCCACACCCACTCACCCTCAAACACCACAGCTGCACTTGGCCAAAGGAAATGCCTGAGGCCACAGTGAGAGGCACCAGAGGCACCCCCAGGCAGCACTCACCCCCTTCCCCAAGTGGAGCTCTGTGCAGAGTAGCTGGCAGGAGACTCCTCTGCAAGAACAGTCCCAACCAGGCAGGCTTGGGAATGTTTTTTGTGTTCAAAGCAGTTCTTGCTTCCATGCAACCCAACTGCAGCACAAAATGAAGCTGTAGGAGAAAAGCACAGGGGCCACCACCTCGCTGCCCTCCAAGGATTGCCATTACAGGAACAAAACAAGAAATGCTTTGTTAACCCCTTTTATGGATGCCAAACCTTGTTGCTACAGGACTCGTAGCCCCACTGCAACAGTCCTGCCACACCCCCAGAGGAAACACCAGCAGCATGATGTGTGATGCCCTGGAGCTTATCCCTGCAACTGCCAACACCGAGCTCTGCGCCCTGGTGCAGGCACACAGCGCACCCCAGGCACACCCGTCTGTCCTCACGGTAACAGCGCTTTCCCTTCTCACCTCACCAGAAACAAGCTGTCCAGGAGGGGAAGGCCAGCTCCCTTCAGTCCCTTTCCACCCAAGCTGGGCAGTGCATTCCCAGGGGAACAGCACGAGAGGCTGCTGAAGGCAGTCCCAGCGTGGGTCAGGCCACACTGGGCATGTCACAGGAGGGTTGAACACCTGCTGATCACCAGGCAGCATTCACAGGGTTCTCCCCTCCCTGGAGGTACAGAGAGCAGCTCTGATCAAACACAAAGAGTGAAAGATCTCTATCCACTACAGTTTGCATTCCTAAATTGAGTGCAGGGACACTCCCCACTAATTGGCTTACAGTCATTATCTTTGTATCTCACTAATGACAACACTGTAAACTGAATAAAGACTATTTAATATTCTTTCTTTTAACACAAGAAGACTGACAGCCAAAGCCAGAAAGATGAATTAAAACTATAAAATTACATATTTTAAAATAATGCAGCATAAATAAACCATTTAGAATGAGACTGCATTTATTGCAACATTACAGGCTTTTTGGTGGAAGGGGGGGTTTGGATTTGATTTACCCTGAGTAGGTTAGAATATAGACTCTCAGTTTGATATGAAAAACTATTCTGTTGTGTAACATCTTTTAGTCAAGAAAACAGCCCCGTGCACAAAAAGCTGGCATTGCAGTAGGCTGGAGGCAGAGTCAGGCAGAAATTATATAGCTCACTGGAAAAAAAAAGAAGCATGTATGGACAACTGAAGAACAGACTCACTGAACTGAAACTGAATTTATGTTGAATCTTTCTCAAAATTTTCTTAAGGGTTGTTCTTCACAAAAGATGAGAGTAACCAGCAAAGGCACCATGCTCCTGATTCAACTGCCCCAGGGTTAGGATGATGATTTGTTGCTGAACAGAGCCTAAGAAATCAAAAGAGCAGCAGGCACCAACCTGAGCACACCTGGGACTCACTGTACCCTTCGGAAAGGCCAAGAAAACAGACTCAGGAGCCAGAGCCAGCAGCGGCTCTGACTGTGCTTCCATGTTGTGACACAGTGTCTGCAACACACTTGAGTCCTAGTGGAATTAAATGAACAGATCTCTTAGGGGCACAAGATACTTGTGCCCTGATGAAATAAACTTCCCCAAAGCTCCTGGAGACTTTAGTAAGAGCAAAACCAGGCACCAGCTCATCAGGTATGTGACAATCACATTAAATCACTGCAGATAAATCCTCTCCCCCAGCTATGCCATTTCCTCCCCCCACAGCCTCCTTTCCTGGGCTCCCCTTTAGTGCATGGTTAGTAGAGACAAGAGAGACAGGAGAAAATTAGAAACCCAAGAAGTTGTAACAAAGACCCACTTGCTGCCAGTACCTTAATCCCAAACCTAAGTGATGTGCAACTGGAGACAAAGTAACCCCCCTTTTCCTTTTAGAAATCTTTTTGCACATGAGTAACCTTAACTTCTGTGTTCACATATGACAAGCAAAAGTGACAGACAGTGCAGCCAAAACAGTTCATATATAACTTAGCTATTTCTTTTTTTTTTTACCTTTTCTTTTTTTTTAAGATAGAATCTCAAAGGTGGATGTACCTGGGACGTGACTAAGATGACATCCATGAAGCAGAAATAAGCCACAAAACTTCCAAAGAGGAAGGAATAGGAATCGATCCTTCAGTTTCTGCTTCTAAGGAGAAGGGTTTTACCCTCCAGGTGCAAAGGAAAATCTGGAACATCTTCACTTAGAGAAGTTGCTATTCATACCAATTTCTTCCTCACCCTGCAGTAGTGCTTCGATTGGAATTATATTAGATGGGGTTTCAGGGCTTTGGAGGGACAGGAAGTCCGATACATCCATGGCACTTAACGTTTCAGTCTGGGAGTCTGAAGAGTTAACTATCTGACTGCTCTGCCCACAAGAAGGAGGAGCAGAGGAGGAAGGAAAGGTCTTAGGCTGCAGCTGGGAAGCTGGCTGCTCCAAAGCTTTTGAATCCGGTGAGGAACATTCCTTCTTAACCGTGGAGGTGGCTTTGTCCTTGGCAGAGTCTCGGCAGGCACACTGGCACTGGCAGGCCTCCTCCTGCTTTATGATAATAACAGGAACGCTGAGACCAATCTGCTGAACGGGGTTTCCTGAAGATGAAACAAAGACAAAACACAATGGAACTACAAAATTTCACAGCAGGGAGAGAGAAATCAGCTTTGTTATAAGTTAGCTCAGTGTCACGCTTACCTGTGTTACCAGCTACTGGTAATGCAGTGGTAAAAAACACCTTTTCTACTTTAGGAACTTGTGGCTTTAAAGAAAAAAAAACAAGAAAAATGTGTTAATTGACTCAAATCAAATTTCTGTTGTTCAAATTCTAAACATCTATATACATATTCCAAAGAGACACACAGGAAAATTGGGCTCCAAGTCTTGTTTCAGTGGTCCTAAAGACTTGGCATAACATCCCCCCCATTATTTGCTGGCAAACTCAGCTTTAGGGTTTTGAGAATTTAATGACTGAATTCTTAAACACTGCTCTGTGTGTTCCCACTGCCTGTACCTGCAGCCACTCACTCATGTCCACCTACAGCTGAGAGCCCAAAGTGGCACCAATATTGTCAGAGAGAAAACTCCTGAAGTCTCAGGTATCCAGATTTAGTGGAAAACCACAAACACGCTCTTTTCAGAAAAACTCTTTTCATTGTCAATCAAAATTAGGCAGAGACAGAGATTACAAAATGCCTAAACACAACCTTTACAGAGTCTTTTGTGCTTCTATGCATTAAAAGTAATACATTAAGGCCCATGTATATCCTTAGGTCTGGTGGTGCCATGTCCTGGATAAACACAGTGATACCTGCTGTAAGAAGTCCACCACGAGGAGAAAGAGGAAAGCAAGACTTTTCTGAATCATGGGTTTTTCTGTGCTCTACTTATTTCTCTGTCTATTCTAGGGGCTGCATTGGTGACATGTATACACATTAACATGACAAGTATTATACAGTGCATCCTAGGGTTTATCTTACAGGTTTGACCCTCTCCCTTTTCAAAAGTAAAGGCTCTGGTAGGAATGGTTGAAGCTGTTCCAAAGCCCTGCTGGATGTACTGACCATTTGTTCTTGGCTTTGTGGGGAACCAGTGGCACCATTTAAGATCCATTGTAAGTTCTGCTCTCCCATGACAATACTGGACTGCAGAATGGCGGTGCTTGGAGAAGGAGTAATGGTTATAGTGGGGTTACTGGTCAAAACAGGGTTTGCACCAACAGGCACAGTCTGAACTACAGCTGGCAGGGGCTCAGTGGCACTCGGGGCTGTAGGGGCAGGAGCCCCAGCAACCACTGACAGTCCCTGTACCATGGGCTGCGGCGGAGGCTGGGTGCGCTGCAGGAAGTCTTGGTGACTGGCTGCAAACGGTGTGCTGTGAGGAACAGGCACTTCTGGGGATTGTAAAACAGTTGCAGGATTCCCAAACGCAGCTGGCTGTGAGCTGGGTGCTATGGAGGAGGGAGCAGAGGGTGCAGCCGAGGCTTGCAGCGCTGCCTGCGCGGGCTCAGGGAGGCCGAGCTGCAGGACCAGCGGGAGGGACAACGAGGCTGCGTCTCCTGCTGGGGGCGGGACCGCAGCGGCTGACTCTGAGTCACCGTTAAACCTTTCAATCAAGGACGCTGCTGAAAGAGAAACAGAAAAAGTATAAATACATCCCTCCTCGTTACATCTGAATGACATGCTTTTTTAATGAACTTATCAGCTAGCTGATGGATTTTTTCCAAGTAAAGCATCACCACGTTCCTAACTTCACACTAGTGCTCAGAAACAACCCTAGACAGTGCAATCTAAAAGTAGTTGCAAATTCAGGAAGTTAGTAACTTTGGGCCTACACTGAGCCTGATCAGGCTCATCAGCTCTCACTAATAAGCCTTTCATCAGCCAGGTTGTGCAGCAGCTTCAAGAGGGAACCTTGAAAACAGGATGACGTAAAGTGCTTGAGAGCTCCAGTGCCACAAGTGCAAGACATGTTCTGGGTCACCTCCCCTGTCACCGAGTGTCACACCATCTGTGTACACCATGCATCCCAACACAAGTGAATTTCAACACTGAAGTTCTTTTTGCTTCATAGAGTTATGCTGGGCATTAAGCTTCAGTCTGAAATGCTGAATTCAGTACATGCATGCAGAGCTGTCAAAAAGTTCTCTTTAACAGCAGTGCAGATACAACTGGTACCTGTCTGCCGGGAGTCATCCCGATTTGCAGTGTGGTCTGGGCTCTGAAACATAGACTCAAAGATGCTTGCTGGTGAGATTGTGCTGAGGTCCTGTCCCTGTGTCTGACAAATAGAAAACAAAGAGGAAGACATTACACAATGCAGTATCTCAGGTCTCCACAAATCCCATGTGCATGTCAGAAACATTCTGCCAATGAACCAGCCACTCTCAGGAAAGGCAACATATATAAATCTTACATGCTGTAAATTTACACCTAGGTTTTATTACCTGTAATCAAATTTACTAACATAATGAGCAAACCCCTACAAAAATAAGTAACTTCTTCAAAAGTAAAATATATTCCTCGGCACTTTGTTTAACCCTTATTTCTTGCAGTACTCCATCAGAAACAGACATTTATTGGCTGTTTGCAGAACCTTTTCTGGAGCAGAAAAAAACAGCTCCATTTAGATTGTATCCTGGATTATGCAATTCTAGTCACCCACACTGCTCAAGGAGCAGAATATACACAAGAGCTGCACCCTCCTCCCACACCACAGCACAAAGAACAACACTGTCTCCTCAGCATCTCATTTTCCTCTATGGAAAACCTAAGCTCAGTCAACACTTATCAAGAAGCAAGAATACTGTTATGGTAAAATCAGATGCAGAACTCCACACAGCACTAAACTAAACTAAGTACTGCACATTTTGGAGGACAAAATCAAAACTCAAATGAGAACGAGGCAATTCCAGGACAATAACTCACTTGATTAGAGTTCTCCCGCAATTCTGAATCTGTTGATATGAGGCTTAAATCACTCAGACAAAGTGAGTGACTTGTATCCTGTGAAAAAGAAAAACAATCTGAATTATATTAAAGTAATTATGTCAGAAATGTTTTAAATTACTTTTGAGAGTCCATACTCTGCTTATATGGGACCCAGGTCTCAGTTCTAAAATCAAAGGAGAAAGACTTTTAAGCAAAGGATATTTACCAGCTATTAAGGATTGTTAACATCTCTGTCAAAGTACTTCCAAAAAGTCATATAACCCAGAATTTTAAGTTAGCAGAGGAACAAATCAACTTTTAGAAAATAAAAAAATTAAACCAGTGAGTAGTTTTAGTTAGTCTCTCTTTTACTTGACATGTTTACTCCACAGTATTGATTCCAACTGAAGCACAGCTGGAAAGCAGCCTGATGGATACAACTGCCCACATGCACATGTGGCAAAGGCAGCACTTACAACTCCCTTTGAAAATTCCAGTCTTAAATGTCACACCTTAAGAACAAGCTGCAGACCAAATGATTTCTTCTCCAAGGTATGGTTTATACCCACCTAACACAAAAACATTAAGCAGAAGTGCTACTAACCTCAGACACATTGTTATTGGGAAGTGCATTATAGGTATGGCCCTTCTCATGACCTTTCATGTGACTCTTGAGACTGTACTGGGTACTGAAAGTCTTCTCACAACCATTACTGGGACAGAAGAAGGGTTTCTCCCCTAGAGGCATCACAGAACACATTTAACAGAAAAACATCCTATCAGACACACACTTATAAAGCATCTGGGAGAGCAGTATTTCATACAAACAAGATGTTTAATGCTCCTTTACACATTCAGTATTCCTGGGAGTCCTGCAGGTGAGTGCTTCCATTTCACCATGGGAACTGACACACAACACAGTATTTAATTGTTATGTATCATTACTGATACATTTGTGAAAACATATTAATAGAATTCAAGACCTGTCAAGCATAACTGGAAAATCTGAATTGGCCTGACTCAGGTGCAGGAGTTTGCATTTGGCTTTTTTAAACTCGTGAGGTTCACATGGGCACACTCCTCCAGCCTGCAAAGGTCTCTCTGGATGCCATCCCCTCCCTCACACATGTCACCTCAGACACTCAGCTCGGTGTCACTCCTATGTTATATGTAACCATTAATACATATTAGGATTCTGAGAGTTAGTATAAACTGAATAAGCTCAATTAAAGAAAATTTAAAAAAAAATAAAACACAGAACTTACCAGTATGTGTTCTAACGTGTGTTTTGAGGTGGTGGCTTGCAGCAAAAGCCTTCCCACAGCCATCATGCTCACACCTGAATGAGGCATCACAGGGGAGTCAGCATCAGCTCCCTTCAATGCATTAGCTACAGCCTTTGCTATAGTCCCAGGACTCTAAAAAGCAGGCCCAAATCTAAGCTCTGTCAGCAACCAGGTATCTCCCAGCACCAGCTGTACATGCTACACACATTATAGCAGGGCTCTGAGTAGGACTTAAAAATCCAAGCATGAAGGCAGTATTTGGGGGGGTCTCCTTCATGGAATACACATTGCATCCCCACAGAGAACAGCAACGTGTTTTAGAAGATGCTCATCATGGCATAGGTTTATGTTTAAAAAACTACCTTAACTATTCTTGTCTTTTAGGACAATCACTGCACCCACTGTTGAAGGCACCTGTGGGAGCTGGAGAACAAACATGCTCCAGTGCCAGCCTGCCACCTTCACTTATTTCTCAGGAGAACACCATTCCATTGAGAGCAGTAACAGCTGCTTTTTGGCACAGGTGTCTCATTGCCTGAGCAACAGAAGGCAGAAGTGCCATCCAGCTACTCACCGAAATGGCTTTTCTCCTGTGTGTGTTCGAATGTGCTTCCTCAGGTCACTGTGCGTTGTGAAGTATTTGCTGCAGCCTTCTGATTCACAGTTAAATGTTTTCCCTGTGTGAAGCCTTTGATGTGCTTTCAACCTAAAAAACATGTCAAAAAAAACCCTCTTAGGACTGGTAGGATAAGACAGCTCTGGCCTGAGGCAAGCAAGCCATTCTTTCAAATGTGCAGGACAGGATCAAAGGCTTAACATATCCTGAGCAGAAGGTAAAGAGCTCATGGAAGTGACTGCTATCAGTTCCAAAGTCATCCAACAAATCTGAGAGACGCTTGTGTTCATGCACCACCTCCAATGCTATTGGACTATTAAGAAGTCACCACAGTTCTGTAATCCTACCCTTTGGACAATATTGCGACATTTGAGAGGTTTATATTCATACCTGTACTGGAAGAAGCAGAACAACTGTATTCAAACACAAAGTAGATGCAACTTGCAGAGCATCAATTGCCATACCGACAAGAAAACTTGCCAGAGCCTTCCCATCTGTATTGTTGAATACCTTCTCACCTGTACACAGTGCTGAACCCCCTCTCACCTGTACACAGTGCTGAACCCCCTCTCACCTGTACACAGTGCTGAACCCCCTCTCACCTGTACAGTGTGTTGAATGCTTTCTCACAGCCCTGCACGTCGCACTCAAATGGTTTCTCCTTGGTGTGCACCCTGACGTGGATTTTGAGGCTGTAGGAGGTGAGGAAGGCCTTGCCACAGCCCTCCTGGTTGCAGACGAAGGTGTACTCCCCCCGGTGGGTTTTCTGGTGCGTGCGCAGGTTGCCAGCGGTGCTGTAGGTGCGGGGACAGCCCTCAAAGGTGCACTGGTAGCGCTTAACCTGAAGGACAAAACGCTGCATGCTTAATCATTTTTAATAATTTCTGGAATCCAGACATGGATGTAGTCCTTTGATGCAGACATCAAAGAAAATGCAATAGATTTTGATCCCAATGCCCCCACCAAAAATTTACTGCTGCTTAGTTCTCTGACAACAACATTTCTGCTGTGCTCTGTGAGGAAGGAGTGGCACATGGGAAAGCAGCTGGCCTTGCAGAACAGGAATCTAACAGAAGGAGGAAAAGGAAAAACATAATCTAAAATTTTCCTAGCTAAAAATCTGATAGAACAGTTGGAAAGAACACTGAGGAGCCATCAAATCTGTCCACCACCTGCAAGTGCAGCACCTGCATTTTGGTCTGATGCTTCCAGCAGAGACAGGGAGACAAAGGAAAATGCACTGTCACAATCTCAAACCCACTGCCCTGGGGGCTGAATTCCCATCAAATTCAGTTGGCACTGAGCTTGAGCAAAAGTTTTTACCATCTCCCATGGTCTAACCACCAGTCCATTACTTCACTTTATCCCAAAACAGTCTTCATTGAGCCTTGTTCTTTCCTTCTGTGGCTACTGGAACAGTCAGTGCCTGAAGGGGAATGGATCACATCAGGTCACAAGGACACCCAAATACAGGTGTCACAGATTTCTCAGTAAGCTATGGAGATCCCTAGGACAATTTCACATGGAACTACATTAGGTATCTTCCCCACTTCTGCAACAGGCACAAGGGATCGTTTAGAATCTTACAGTGAGCAAGTGGTAACACATAATGAAATCTCATCCTCTCTTGTGAAGCAGAAGGAATACAGCCCCGATCTGCCTGAATAAAGTTATCTTCCAACATTAACTACCAGACTGATGCCTTTCATTTGACTGTTAAAGTTCAGAAACCTCAACACCTAAAGGTGACTGAGGAGAACAGGAGAGAACTTGGCAAGTCCCACCAGCTATAAATCACGTTCTCCATAACAAAAGAGAAAGTACCTTCTTGATTACTTCCGACCTGTTTTGTAGGGGACAAAACTGCCAGCAAGACTCCTTTAAGAAAATTTTATAAAGCTGAGTGATCTTTTGTGTATCTCAATCCGTGGTCTCTTGTTCCCACAACAGGCTGGCATTCACCCTCACCTTACCTCAATAACACCTTTGTATTTGGAGAACGTTAAACCCTCCTGTGAGACATACAAGAGACCTTTACACAGAGCACAGAAATACCATAACTGCTGGGTTTGGCTGTGATAGAGTTCATTTTCTTCACTTGTATAGAGCATGTTTTGGATTTGTGCTCGACACACAGCTGATGGTATAGAGATGGATTGCTCTTAGTGCTTCTCATCCCACCCTGCCAGCTAGGGGCTGGGGGTACACAGGGAGTGGGGAGGGGATGCAGCCAGGACAGATCCAGGAATATCCCAGACCATGTGATGTCATGCTCAATATAGAAAGCTGTGGGAGGAGGAAGGGGAAAGATTTTGTGTTCCCCAGCCTCTGTGAAGCAGCTGGAGTCCAGCTTTCCTGGGCATGGCTGAGCTCTCACCTGCCAGGGGAAGCAAGGAATTCATCCCTTCACATTCTCAACTAGTCGCTCAGCATTCTCAGAGAATTTCAGAGAAGGAAACAGTAATTTCACTCTAAGCAATTTGCCCTTAGCTTACAGCTCACATCAGGCAGAAGTCACCACTAAATGCCCAAGAACTGCAGCATGGTAACAATGCAGTTAGGAAGTCTGGTTGTGCTGAGGCAGCCACAACACGGGAGCACAGAGCAGTAACACACCAACATCAGAACACAAATTTTATTACTTGAGGAGGGCACATCATCCTTCCTCGGGATCACCAGATCCAGTACAATTTGTGTATCAGTGCTGAAGTACATGCTCCCTGTTACAGTTTTAAGGCAGCTGGAAATGAACACTTTATAGAATATTCCCCACAGTACTTCCCATGGTACACAAGGGATTTGACACAGGCAGGAACTACCTGAAAATCAAGAGAGGATTCTGTTAAGCTTTCTAGGTGTTTTCATTTAGGTCTAGAAGAAAAAGGACAGTACTAATTACAGATTAAGCTGTTTGGTTCCCAGCTGTCACTGCCACTGTGTAAGGGAAGGTGGCAGCAGCAACATCAGTTCAATGGCCCGAACTCTGATAATGGTCTTGCAGAGCTCCCCCTCCCTCAAAGGCCAAATCTTTATTTCACAAAACCTTCAGAGCACACCACAGGCAGCAGCAATATCACCACCACGTTCTGAGCAAAATCAACCTTTCTGTGAAGCACCACAGTATTTAAATCGCTCACATTAGCACATTAACACACTGCACACTGCTTATACACACAAAACCATCGGAGATTGGATTGAAAGCTTCACAGAGACAGCAGCAAGAGCTCCAGGCTGCGACACCACCCAAGCACAACAGAAAACAAACAAGGCAGCAGAGGCCAAGCCCTGGACAGGCAGGACAGGGCCCAGGGACTTTGAGGCCAAAGGCTGTGGCTTTTGGCCAGGGACAGTGAGCAGCTGCCTCTACCAGGGGACACTGGAAGAGATGTGATCCAGCACTTACCTCAGAGATGGGAACTTGTTGTGAAATAGCCAATAGGGCCGAAGGAAGCAGAGCCTCACACCCTGGTTCAAAGTCTACAGTAACTGCTCTGTTTGCCTTTAACTCTTCCTGAGCTTGCCATATTCCCCCTAAATGGCTACATTTTCTGTGTCATCGCTGAACAGAGAACAACTGAATTTGAAATACAAAACTGTAATCATGTTTGTTCTTACCAACACAATTACAGTGAGAGATGTATAACAAAATAAAGAAAAGCCAAAGGCAACTGAAGTGTAAAACCCCCTTTTTACCTTCCTAAATGTCTAAGGCTGACCTGAAAATCTAAGACTTTAAAACAATTATCTCAAGTGTTAAAACTGTTGTGGGCATTTTTGAAGTACCAAAGAACAGAGCTGCTGATTTTCAGAGATGACCCAGATACCTGGGAGCTTTAGAGGTTTCCTTTCCTCACCTCCAGACAACTTATCAGACCTTTGAAACTGCAGGAAAAAAGGCCTTTCACACGTGCTCAGGGCTCAGTGCCACTGCTTTCACATTATGGTATCACTGCCCTCTGTTCTGGGAAATTAATTCCAGAAACATAAAATAAATTCATATACAGCATTTGACTAGGAAATTCCACGCTTTACAAGCTTTCTCTAAAATGCAAGAGTGAAAAAATGAAGTCAGTTTAATTGCACATGCAGCCATTGACCCTGTTTAGCTTCTACCCCCTGCTCTGGGAGCGGCTCAGGGCCCCATAAAGAGAAAGTGAAATACTTGAGCAGCTCCAGGCTGCAGCAGCTGCTAACTTGAGTAACTGACAGAAGGAGACTCAAACAGGCTCGCTGAACACACCTCAGTCCAGAAAGTTCCCCAGCTGCAGAGCTGAACCCCCCAGCCCCACTTCCCCGGCACTAAGCCATGATGGTGACAGCTCTGTGCTGATGGCCAGGACTCAGTGTCACAGCCAGGGCTGCCACTGCCACCTGGACTCTTCATCCCTCACATAACTCGGGCAGGCCAAAAAAAGGAGCGCTAAACTGCCCCTGAGCTGGTGTTCCAGTCAACTTCCCTCAGCTCTTGCACCCAAAAAGAAGAGTCCCAGGACAAGCCCTCCCCACTGTGCATCGAGATGGAATTCATTAGGGAAACAAAATTAAGAGTAAACTCCATTTTAACCATGCAGGCTGACTTGAGCTTTCAAAATACATCAGATGGCAGTTTGAAGCTTCCCTCTTCTTGTCACAGTCTCCCTGTGACACAGTAAAACTAGAAATAATTTAAAATTTGGCATCTCACATTTGGTACTCCAGCTCCCAGCAATGGCCTGGCTCTTAACTGTGACCTGAATGTGCTTTTCTTGAGAATGTGGCCAGTCCCAGAGTAACAGCTCAGGTCATTTCAGCTACTTCTGAACTCACAGAGTAATGACTAACCACAAGAAAACCTGAAGATCACTAAAATTACACACAACACTGACACAAACGTGTCAGTGCCACACCCTCCTGCCAACCAGTGTGACAAAGTGACTGGTTCCTAGGGCAGCAGCTGGTGTCACAGGGAAGAGGGATGGCCCTGGCAGCTCTGCTGGGTTCTCCCCAGATCACTGCAAAGCTGGGGGTGACAATGAGAGCAAATTTAGTGGAGGGCAATTCACTCCATTACACAAAACCCCTCAAAAACGAACAGAACTCCTGCCCCTCTCCTGAAAAACAGCCTTGGGAAAGCCCATTTTCAAAGCCTTTAAGGTGCACAAAACCCAGAATCACATTTAGCTACTCACTTCTTTACGCTTGGTTTCTGGGCACTCAGACTGCAAAGTGAGTGTTGCTCCTTCGATGTTTCTTGGCATGGGAGTTGAACCAGGATTTATTGTTAGATGAATCTGATCTGGAGAAATAATATGTTGCACATAACCCTGTGACATCCCTTCATGATCTGCTAATAAATGAAATCCTTCTTCGTGACCCTCGGGTAAAAAAGGCAAGTGATCACCACACTGTCCTTCATCCTCCTCATCTTCCAGCACACTGTGGTCCTGCTCTATGAGCACAGTTGTCCTGTCATACACCGTCCCGGACGAGGAGGACACCAGCCCATTTTTGTCAGCAAACTTCATCATATTTCCATCTTGGGCTAAGTCGTCTTCCTCCCCTTCATAGTAGATGGCGTTGTCCTCGGGACTGTTCTCGCCCATGGCTCCGCGCCTCTCACCGCGCTACCGGGAGCTCCGGCCGGAACAACTCATCTGCAACACAAAGACAGGCGGGGAGTCAGGCGGCTCGGCCGGCCCGGGCCCCGTTCCGCTCGCAGACACAGCCCAAGGGCCGGTGGCGGCGGGGCCGGGCCGGGCCGAGCGCCGCGGTCCCGCCCCGAGCGCGGCGCTACCCCCACCCGGCCCGGTCCCGCGAAGAGCTACTACGGGTGCCTGCGCGAGCCGTGCCACTGCGGCTCGGCCCGTCCTTCCTCCCTTCCCCTGTCCCGTTCCCCCCCGCCCGCTCACCGGGTGCCGGCGGCGGCTCCTTCCCCGCCCCAGCGGCACCATGATCGTCGCGACCCCGCTTCCGCTTCCGGCCGCGCGGGGCACGCCGGGAGCGCCGCGCCCGCCGCAGGGGCTGACGGGAGGGGCAGGGCGGCCGGAGCACAGCGCCCCCGCGCGCGCCTCACGGCCCTCAGCGACACCGGGCACAGGCCGCGAAAAGATCTTTTTATTTAAATAGCAGGGACTTAAAAACTCGTTGTTTTAACAAGTTAAATAAAATACAGTGTAAATATCAGCTCTCTTATTTTTTAACTTGCCTACATACAGCTAATTGGGAAACTTTACGGACTTTACAGCATAATCAGGTGTCAAATTGCCTGATCTCTAGCTTCAAAAGCAACAGATTGTATAAAATACTGTGATATCAAAAAAAAAAGCGCCGGTATAATGTACAAAAAATATTTTTACATTAATTCAATGTCTAAAAGTCAGATTAACTGCATCTGATATTCATGGTAAACCATCTTCTCTGACGAGGAACTGGTGGATAAATTGCTGAGCTTTCCTCTTCTCAGCTATGTCAGGCGTGGGATGTCCAGGAGGAGGTCGGAGTAACAAGCCACCAAACACGCTGGCTGCAGGGAAAAGCCACACAGACACACAATGAGAGCACAACACCGAGGGCCATGCCGCCAGCCCCAGGGAAGAGTGCCCGGCTTGGGAATGGGGCAGGATAAAGCTGGTGATCCCCACATCTCCTGCTCTTCTATGGAATATTCACTTATAATAAAAGGTTCAAAGCAGTACAAGCCATGACTGCACTCAGGTATGAAGTGTTTTGTTGCCCTAACTGTGCAGCCCCTCTGAACAGAGGGTTATTTTGCTTGCCTTACCAAGAATATTCACATCCAAATGGTTTTTCCCTGAATTCTTCAGTAGCTCTCGTAGAAATGCCATCAGACATTTAAACACATTTTTGTGGCACACTGGTAGATTGGAGATAATCTGAGGAGGGAAAAACACCAACATTTATATTGCGGACACAGCAATGCCTTCCATCTGCACCCGCCCGCAAAATCCCCCTGTCTGCAAGTGCCAACAGCTCTTTATAACCCAAAAGCACCAGCTCCAGATCATTTCCATTAACAGAGGATTAAGTTACTGAGAGCAAAACCTGGTGACTTGGTGTACCAGAGAGCAGTTTGCCTCCCCACCTCTGGAATCAGAGCTGGTCCCTCAGGGAATCCAGCAGTACCTGGCAGCTCAGCCCGTAGTTGCTGGCACTCTCCAGACAGGAGCTGTAGAACCTGCAGCAGATGACAGGCTCGGGCAGACTCTCCAGGAAAAGCAGCAGTGCCTCTGCCACTGAGTGGTTGCTGCCCACTGATCCAAACATGGTTAAGGAACAGTTCTGAATGAACTTTTGGTTAGGTGTCCCAGAACTCTGCCTACAGTTCGCAGCTTTGGGTTAATCCCCAGGTCTCCACATGAGCTGCTGCTGGTAGCAGTTGGGCACTTGTTTAATTCATTGGCATCACCAGGACTCAGCAGAGGAAGACACAGAACCACGAGGAAATGCAGAGCTCAGTTACACCAAGAGGAGAGACAGCAGCATAAAAACCTCTTCCAGTTTTGGCACTCTGGCATAGTGAGCCTTCCTGGGCATCAGTCTAAAAGGATACGGAAAGTATCGTACATTCCCTTGTCCAAACAGTCTCGGATTTGTTCAAATTCAGATCTGAGGCCTGGCTGCTGAAACAGGTCCTCCTGCAAAGACAACCGTTTATCACTCCAAGGAAAATAGAAGAATTTTGGGTAAATGGAACAATGTCCTTATAATCTGCCTGGAAAGTCTCTCCAAATTGGTGGTTATTACCCAAATATCAGCACAAACAGATCTAGGAAGGCTGTGGCACTGCAGTAAGAGCAGTGCGGAGGGCACTTGCTGATGCCTGAACACGTAGACAAGGTCACTAGCACCAAACAGTACAACCTGGGGCATCAGGACCACTTATCTCCCATGGCCTTTGGCCAAACACCAGCTTGTAGTGATTGCCATTACCAGTATCTTCTTCAAAACTTAACCTAATGCAAACATCTCATTTTGTATTTCCAGTGCCAACCTGCTGGGAAGCATTGCGATTCAAGTGATCCACCATCATCCACAGCTCTTTTGGGATGTCCATGGGCTTTTCAGCTTGGGCAGAGTCATCACTCATGTCTACTGGCATCAAGGTCTGAGGGAGGGCAGTGTGGGCAGGAGGGAGACAAACAAAAGGTAGTTCTTATTCAGCTCAGCAAAAATACTTCACAAAGGTTATACCTGAGAATTGAGACTTAATAAAAACAGACAGGCCTTAGCATCTAGTTTTAATGCTCTTGTGTGTTTGGAAGGGAATCTTGTCTTTAACTCACAAGTCTCCGAATGGATTCTGCTGACATGTCCTGGATTGGTTCCCTCATGTAACACAGTGTATGGATGGGAGACCCAAAGCAACTTGGCAAATAGTTGCCTGTTACGGATAGAAAATAATCCTTCCCTCTGACAAGATGCAAGACTAAGATATCTTCAAGTTTTTCCTCTCCAGAGTTTAAGCGAGTAGCTGTTGATTTATTAACAAACACCTCCAGCTCAACTGTGATCTCAGCATCTGCCAGAAGATGATAAAAAACCCAGACTCAGTTACAACCAGCATTAAGCCTGCAAACAGACACAGCACTCCCAGAAGTGTAGAGGGAGCTAAGCCAGAAGGGGACAATATCAGCTCATTAACATGAGACAAACAAGGAGGAGCTCACCTGAGAGCAAGAAGCCCTTAGTGGGATTAGCAGTCAGCCACTCCTTGCAGTAGGTTTCCTCATCTGGTTTGCTGATAAATTCGAACTGGCAGGGCACTTGGCCATTGTGGATTGTAAACCTCTCTACCTGCAGCTGCATGTATTTAACATCCTCAAAACAGATCTAGAAACAAATGACAGTCAACATCATCAGCCAATTCTCCACCTTGCTGAGCAGCAATTCCTGTCCTATGGTTTAATTATTAAGCTGCAAGACAACTAGATTAACCTCTTGCTCCCACTCCCATCTCTTCCAGGATTGCACAGGATCACACTTGCTTACTCTGAATGTCAAAATCCTTTCTGTCAGGGGGCCCTTTAAAACAAATGCTGCCCTCAAATAGCTACAATAAAATTAAGAATGAGATAGCTGTAGCCTCAAATGTCCCCTGGGCTTATCTTTATAGTCCCAACACACAAAGCAAATGCTGGTTTGTGACCTTCTCCAGATCCTTGCAATTTTACATTTTATGTTTGAAAGCACAAATCAGAGCAAGGGTCACAAACCACCGTTTTACTTTCTCTCCTCCCACCTCAGGGAATGACACACCCTGTGTTTCAGCCTTGTACTGTGAATGGAAATCACCGGCATCTAAATAGGAACAGAGATTCCTAGGGCTTGTAAACAGAGAGCAACTGGAAGTCAAAATACTCTACTTTTTGGAACCAGACCCAAGGGTCTAGGATGCATCTTCTACTGCTGGGGTCTAGGGCTGCTCAGTTCCTTGAGGGAGTGCTGGCACATGACCATGCCCTACCTCTCTGCGGGACAGCGTGACCGAGGGAATGTTGGCATTCTCCAGCTTATCCAGGGAGCGGACTATTTCCTCAAAGGCTTTTCGATAGAGCTCTTCATTCACAACCTTCACCTGAAAAGGACACACACTGGACCAGCTAGCATTGACTGTGCCTCTGCAGGACAGCTGGAACACAGCTGTAAACATGGGAAGGAATTTGATTTTAGCAGCACACTAGAGTATACAACACAGGGAATGGGCAGAGCTGCTTGGATTACTCATCTCCAAGGTCTTCTCATGATCCAACAGTAAAGGACCTTGCCATAACTAACAAGAGTCAGTCAGTACTAGATCAATTTTTTTCCCCTCAGAAAAAAATAAGAAGTTTGACAGCACACTATGCAAGAGAACACCGCCAGATACTCAGGTTAACTGCAGTATCAATTACACAGCCCTTGCCTACTATGATCAACAATCCAATCTCCATATCTGACCAGCCCACCTTTCAAACCATTGTTCTCTGGATGCCACAAAAGCAGGAGAGAGAAATCAGCACCCAGGGGATGAGATCAGCAGAGTTACTTCATCCAGCACTGACATACCTACCCCAATATCAAACACAGAGCTCACTGGCTTATGGTCACTGAGCTTCAGAGCCATGTGGCTGCGATAGCTCAGCTGGGCAATGTTCTGTCCTTTCCAGAGTATCCGATCACACCACGCTGGAACGCGACACTTCTCACTAAAACAGAGGGGAAAATCACCATTTCCAGGCACAGTGCAGATGCAGTAACAACAGAGTGCAGAACATCGCTCGCCCAGAGATCAGGGTTTCCTGCCGTGGCCTGGAGCTCATTGTCTATCAAAGTGGTAATTTTAACAGTTTCTTTGCATAGATATAAAATGTTTGAGTGTCTACTATAAGGTATCTGTGGCTCATGCTTTACTTCCTGCTTCTTCAAAGGTGCAAGAAACAATTAACATCCAAAGCAATTCTCAGGTATTTTTAACTATGAGAGCCATGAAAAATAAAAAGTCAGGCTCTACATTTAAAGTTTGCGTTTACTGTTTTCACTGACAGCTGCACAGATTTAATTTCTGCACTTGCAGCTGAAGTTCCTGGTTTGCTAAGACTAGAGGAGCTGCTCTGTGTATAGAGCATTACAAGAAGGATGGTTCTTGCAGGCTTTTGAAGAACAGCACAGTTGACTCCATGTCAACCCTGGCTGGTCTCACCTGAGCAGGTACAGGAGAGATCAGCAAAAATGAGATCCTAAAAATTTTGCTTGGGGAAAAAAACAATGAACCAGACAAAAAAGAATTAAACTAGCTAAAAGGATTCATGAACTTTGTACACCTCTAAGAGGAAACCTGATAGGATTATTACTGGGGAAAAAAATAGCAGGAGTATCTGACAAATAGCTGTGGGAGAAAAACAATGCAAATAGATGTAAACAGGAGATGAATTTTGGAGAGAAGGGAGAGAACCAGAAATAATCTCAGAACTGTTCCTATTTACAGCCA